TTTGCAATGGAGCCAAAGATTCATTATTTTTTGGCTTGAGATTATGATAGAATAAAGCAAAATGGCTCACTAAACTGTCTGCGCTTCTTTGTTATGAAGCAACAGTCAGTCCATGCAATTTTGGACGAGATTTTCACTATGGGTCATCCGCAAACAGTCTCTCTGTGCTTTAGTACAGAGGTAAGACTGCGTACATCCGCCCCCCTTACCCCACCGTAGGTGGGAGCCTTTGCGGCACTGGGGTAAATGAAAATGAAAATGAAGAATATACGGTTGGTCAAAGTTTTAAATATGACGAAGTTTTTTGGGACGAAAGTGTAATTTTTAACTCCCATTTCAGATGTCATTCATGTTAGCCGACCCCAAACTCTTTTGGGACAACACTAAGGCATGGATGTTGTTGTTGTATATATTTACTAGTTATAGTTACATAAGTGTGGCTGAGATGCACATGTTGGCGCAAAGTGTTGGGTGGTGAAATAATGTCACATTCAAAAGATGAGTGTGACTGAGATGCACATGTCACATTAGATGTGTGGATATACTAGAAAAGAACAGACAATAAGGCAAAAGATGGGATTAACACCTATTGAAGATAGATGCGGGAGTCTCGACTGCGGTGGTTTGGCCATATGCATAGATGAGTTGAGAGGTGGGGAGAAAAGGCAAGAGAACACTCAAACAAAAGTGAATTAGAGTGGTCAAGAATGATATGGTACTTCTTGGGTTGGATGAGACTTCAGAGTATGACTTTAGAGAGAGCGAAATGGTGGAAGAGTATACGAGTGGAGGATTGATCTCTTTGTATCTTTTTAGCTCCGATTGCATATGTCGGTTCATGTAGCTGAGCCCAAACTCTTTTGTGATTAAGGTTTGGATGTTGTTGTAGTAGTTAAATCATAGTAATATCCTATTGTGAATATCAGCCAAAACATGTTGGGTGAGAGGAATTAGTAATCACATACTTCGTATAACAAATAAGAATAGGCCTGTAGGGATATTAGTGAAAAGGTGTTGTAATTTCATTTCAATTCTGACTTCTATTGGCTAGTATGGCTGCATTAGATATTTTAGTTAAAAGTGAAGTCGAGCATAATCCTTTATATTCTGTTTGCTTTCAAATGCAGTCCTTTCTTTTCCTTTTCTCATGATAGGAATTTAGCCACTTTATCTTATTTAAGTGTGTTGAAATATAAACTAGAATAATATTGAAGAGTGGAGGAAAGATTTTCTGTGTATTTCATAGAAGGGTTAAGGCCCTATATATATTACAAAGATGCTATACAATAATAATGTCTAGAGTATATTCCTAAAGCATATGCTTAGATATAATAATACTTTCACACTCCAAAAAAAATACTTTCACATTCCCCCTCAAGTTGGAGCATAGATATTTATCATGCCCAACTTGTTACATAAATAATCAACTCGAATCCCATTTAGAGCTTTAGTGAATAAATCTCCAAGTTGTTCTCCAGTCTTCACATATGCGGTAGAGATTAATCTTTTTTGTATCTTCTCTCGAATAAAATGGCAATCAACCTCAATATGCTTTGTTCTCTCATGAAATACGGGATTGTTTGCTATGTGTATAGCAGCTTGGTTATCGCACCACAACTAAGCAGACATTGGTGTCTTCAATCCGATTTCATTCAATAAATGGTGTATCCATATTATCTCACATGCGGATTGTGCCATAGCTCGATATTCCGATTCAGCACTAGAACGAGAAACCACATTCTGTTTCTTACTCTTCCAGGATACAAGATTACCACCAACAAAGACGCAATAGCCAGATGTAGATCTTCGATCATCTTTAGAGCCGGCCCAATCAGCATCTGCAAAGCATTCTATTCTCATGTGATCATGGTTTTGATAAACAATACCTCGTCCTGGTGCCCCCTTTAAGTAACATAACATGTGTTCTACAGCAGCCCAATGATCAATGGTCGAAGATGACATGTATTGACTCACAACACTCACAAAGTAAGAAATATCTGGACGAGTGACTGCGAGATAATTAAGCTTTCCAACCAATCGTCTATATCTTTCTGGGTCTTCAAACGACATGCCTTCTTGAGTGAGTTGCACATTGGGAACCATGGGAGTATTGCTCGACTTTGATCCCAACTTCCCTGTTTGAGCGAGCAAATCAAGTACATATTTTCGTTGAGATAGAAATATGCCTTTCTTACTCCGTGTTACCTTAATACCCAAGAAGTATTTCAATGAGCCTAGATCTTTTGTCTGGAACTGGCTATGAAGATAATTTTTAAGGGCCAAAATACCTGCATTATCACTGCCTGTAATCACAATATCATCGACATACACCACAAACAATGTGATACATGCTTTCATTCGTCTGTAAAAGAGAGTGATCTGATTTGCCTTTTATCATTCCAAACTGTTCAATTGATCGACTGAACTTTCCAAACCATGCACGAGGACTCTGTTTCAGACCATAAAGAGATTTGCGAAGCTGACAAACTTTACCATACTCCCCCTGAGCAACAAATCTCGGAGGTTGCTCGATGTAAACTTCTTCCTGAAGGTCACCATGCAAGAATGCATTTTTAATGTCCAACTGATGTAAGTGCCAATCATGAGTTGCAGCGAGTGAAATAAGTAACCTGACAGATGTTAATTTAGCAACATGAGAAAAAGTGTCAGAATATTCAACACCATAGGTTTGAGCATAACCCTTCGCAACAAATCGGGCTTTCAACCGAGCAACAGATCCGTCTGGATTAACCTTAACAACAAAGACCCACTTACATCCAATAGACTTCTTCCCTATAGGCAAGTCTACCAAATCCCAAGTACCATTAAGATCCAAAGCATTCATTTCCTCTACCATGGCATGACGCCATTCAGGATGAGACAAAACTTCTTTAACAGATTTGGGAACAGAAATAGAATCGATGGAAGCAATGAAAGAACATGAGGCAGGAGATAACTGATTATACGACACAAATGAAGAAATAGGATGAGTACAAGACCGTGTACCTTTACGTAGTGCTATCGGAATGTCAAGATCTGATGTAGAGACAAGATCTGAAGATGCATGTACCGGTTCAGGACATGAGACACAGGTGTCACAGGTGGTGCTTTGTTTCGACGGGTGTAAACCAAATGTACCGGAGGTCTGGGGTCGGGAACAGTAACATGTGGAATAACTACAGAAGGCGTAGATTCCAGTATAGTGACAGAGTAAATGAGTATTTCACATTTTCATCATTACCCTCATGAATATCTGTCTTGGATGATGAAAAAGTTGTATTTTCATGAAATGATGCATCAATGGAAACAAGATATCGACCTGTACTTGGACAAAAACATCTATACCCCTTCTGAACTCGAGAATAACCCAAGAAAATACATTTAATGATTTGGGGTCTAACTTTGTAAGATGGGGATTAACGTCTCTAACAAAGCAAGTGCAACCAAATGTTTTAGGTGGGATAGGAAAAAGCTCTTTATTTGGAAATAAGCAGTGATAAGGAGCTTTACCGTTTAAAACAGAAGACGGCATACGGTTTATCAAAAAACATGCGGTAGACACAACATCCGTCCAAAACGGTTTAGGCACATTCATTTGAAATAGAAGAGCCCTTGCAGTTTCTAACAGATGTCGATTCTTTCTTTCAACGACTCCATTTTGAGGAGGTGTATCTACGCAGGAAGTTTGATGAATAATGCCATTTTGAAGCATAAAAGATTTAAATGGAGCAGAGAGATATTCTTGGGCATTGTCTCTCCTCAACACACGAACAGGAACATTAAATTGAGTTTTAATTTCAGCACAAAATGCAGAAAAATGAGTAAATAACTCTGATCGACGTTTCATAAAGTATAACCATGTCATACGAGAATAATCGTCAACAACAACAACATCCAAGCCTTAGTCCCAAAAGATATTGGGGTCGGCTAACATGAATCGATACATGATATCACAACCAAAAGGAAAAGAAGGAAAAAAGATAAAAAGATAATCGTCAACAAATGTAACAAAATATTTGAAACCAGATTTGGACACAACAGGACATGCCCCCCAAACATCAGTATGAACAAGATCAAATGGAGCGTTTGCTCATTTATTAAGTCGAGGACTTAAACTAGTACGATGATGTTTTGCAAATTCACACGACTCACATTGTATAGATGACACCTTATTAAACTGAGGATATATTTGTTTCATTAGTGGGAGAGATGGATGTCCTAATCGGTAATGAGCTTCTAATAGATTTCCAACCCCAAGACAAGAGATACCTTTTGTGATTGATGTATCCAAAATATAAAGACCAGCCGACTCATGTCCTTGATCAATAGTCTGCTTTGTCAACAGATCCTGAAACACACAATATTCAGGAAAAAATGTTACAGAACAATTAAGAGTACGTGTGATTTTACTGATGGAAAGCAAATTAAATGCAAAATTATGAAGACTCAAAACAGGTGATAATGGTATTGTAGAAGTTGGGACAACAGTACCAGATCTAAGAACAGGTGAGGTAGATCCATCAACTAAAGTGACACTAGAAGTAGGTAAATATGAATGAAATGATGAGAATAGACTAGGATTAGCAGTATCTGTGGCACCTGAGTCAATGACCCATTTCGAGGATGATGAAACAAGACATGTGTTTGAGATACCTGAATTAACGACCACCGAGATAGGGATAGAGGAATGCTTTAGAGATTCTTGGTTGCTAATAAATTTGGCATACTCGTCGAAAGAAATAGCAATTGATCCATCAGATGAACTGGAATAATATTGAAGAGTGGAGGAAAGATTTTCTGTGTATTTCATAGAAGGGTTAAGGCCCTATATATATTACAAAGATGGAATATTCCTATATAAGATGCTATACAATAATAATGTCTAGAGTATATTCCTAAAACATATTCTTAGATATAATAATACTTTCACAAAGTGGTTAGGCACAGAGTATTGAATTCAATTTTGTATATTTGAACTTTAAGAACTTGTGGAAATGCAGGTATGCAGCTAACAAATCAATGGAAAACTGTGCATTTTGCAATGCTGATGGGGACTTTCTGATAGTTCCTCAAAAAGGAAGTAAGCGATGCCCAACTTTACTGGTGTAGCAAGACATTTGTTTTTTCAGTAACAGTGTATTGCTTTGGTTCGGACCTAATCAGCGTTACATCCTAATGGCCTCTTCGAAGTTCGAATGAAGCAAAACGAAATGCATTCTCCTAGAGCATTTAAAATTACGTGAAGTCAAGCGCAAAAACTACTTTGGATCTTTGGTAAAGTTTAAAAACAAAAAGGCAGGCACTATCTTTAATCTGATCACTGATCAGCACCTTCTGTCTACTGTTCTGTTTACCTGTTGGCTCTTAGGGACTGGTAGAGATGACTTTGTTGTGGATTCTGTTTGGGTCACCAAAGAATCCAAACACCCAACAGTCAACAATCAGAAGCGGCTCAGATCAGAAATAAGGATATTGTTTCCTAATAGTATAATACTCCGTATTTCTTTATTCCTAATAGTATAATAAGCCGTATTTATTTATTCCAGTTCATGTTTCCTTTCCTATTTAGAACTCTAGCTGCCTCTCTATTTAAAGTGTTCTTGTCATGGAATAAATCATTTTTTGGAAAATTAATTTGTGTTTCTTGACAAGATCGGGCACCGGTTAATTTAACAATAAGAATAGCTTGGTTTTATTATAATGATTCTCTTTCTCTTCCTGATTAATCCCTTGAACACATCCCTGGGCTTGGGTTACCTCTCGCTTTCTTAACATATTAATTCCTTTTGAGAAGTGTTTTCTTATTTAAGCACTACATGCGTTTTTTGTTTTAAAAAAGCTCCAACCTGGTGCTTTCTTAATTAAGCACCAATGTATTTTTAATGATATAAAAGCACTTTTTCCATATCCCCTTCTTCTCATAAAAGCACTTATTATTTGAAGTAAGTCATTCAAAATGCACTTGTAGTTATTCGGAGTCCTATGAAAATTCCTGTACACGATATTATAGCTCCAAAGTTAGCTCTAACTATCCCCGTTTGCTCTTAGGAATGACAATCTTAGACTTCCCTGTTTTCTTTTCATCAAGTTGGCTGAAGTTCCCTTTATTGTTTGCTTACCACGTAGGGTTGTGGGTCACAACTGAATGTGGTAGGCTGGAAGTCAAACCTGGTGAAATTGTTGTCATACCTCAAGGATTACGCTTTGCCATCAATTTGCCTGATGGAGACTCGCTCGGTTACGTTGGTGAAATTTTTGGAACTCATTTTCAACTTCCTGATCTTGGGCCGATAGGTGAACATAAAAGCTTAAACGCACTTACATTTATGATTTTCAAGATTATCCTTGTATAATTTTTTTTGTCAAATGTTGAAAAAAAATAGATTAATAAACAAACAAGTATTTTTGACTTGCTTATTTGGCCGAAAAGGATGCTACCATATGCTTTTCATTTAATAAAAAAATCAGCAGATTGGGTCATTTCAGCCAAATAACCCATACAGAGTGGAATTGTAGATTCTTATGATATGTTTTTGATGATTCGGTTTATTAGGCGCAAATGGTCTGGCTGCTCCAAGGGATTTTCTTGCTCCTGTAGCGTGGTTCGATGATAGCTACCATCCAGATTACAACATTGTGCAGAAATTTGGTGGTGAACTCTTCACAGCAAAACAAGAGTTTTCACCATTCAACGTGGTTGCTTGGCATGGCAATTATGTTCCTTATAAGGTCATTATTCTTGTAGATGCCATGAGTTTTCTGCTACCTGATATTCATAGTTCATCATTCATTCATTCATTCATCATCATTACCCTAGTGCCGCAAAGGCTCCCACCTTCGATGGGGTAGGGGGGGGGGTCGGATGTACGCAATCTTACTCCTGTAGAGAGTCTGTTTCTTGATTACCTGATATTCATAGTTCTCTCACAAAATCACTCAAGTAGCTATTGTCCTTGTGGTTTGTTTGGCTGTGAGGCGATAATAAGAAGAGAGGAAATGAGTAGAAAAATAGCAGGAAGATAAAGATGAGAAAGAGTGGATTATTAATACTGTTGGTACCGAGTATCAGGGACAGAAAAGAGAGATGAGTGAAATAGAGCATTGGTATTATTTAGTAGAAGACAAAACATCCCCATCATACAGAAGAGTACCAAAAGGGAAAAGAAGAAGATAGAAATGGGATATATTCAATCGTCTGAGTTTCTGTTTCATTTCTTCTCATTCGTGGAAAGAAAGATACAGTGGTGGGCCCCTTGCCATATTACTCTCTCTCTCTCTCTCTCCCAGTTTCTCTCCTCTTCCAAAGAAGAGAATGCTTTCCTTTCGTCCCTCTATTTACTATACCAAACAAACCATTTGTCCTTATTGAGCAAGTCCTTATTGGTTGCAGTATGACCTAAGCAAGTTCTGTCCTTATAACACTGTTTTGTTTGATCACAGTGATCCATCAATCAATACAGGTACATTCCCGATTCCTTTCTTTTCTAGCAGGATTATTATTATTATTATATTAATTTGTATTTATTTGTCTCCAGCTACTAAATATTCTGAAGTGCAACTTCAGTTTGATTCATTATTTAAGATGAAATGCAGTTTTGACAGCTCCAACAGATAAACCTGGTGTTGCATTGATGGATTTTGTTGTTTTTCCACCACGGTGGTCAGTCGCTGAACATACTTTCCGTCCTCCTTATTACCACCGCAACTGTATGAGTGAATTCATGGGCCTGGTCTATGGAGGATATGAGGTGAGTTTGCCTAATCCTTTCTCCATTAATTTCCCTGTTTTATTTTTGCTATGTAGGAGGTAACTGGATATAAGGAGTATCGGTTTCGGTATGATTTGCCTTTGGCTGGTCCTTCAATAAATTTCTAGAAGTAGTTTAAGATTTTAAGTTCACAAGAAAGAAAAGAAAAGTCAGTGAGAAAGTTTCACGCTAGATGTCCTTGCAGTCTCAACTTTCGTGTGAAGAAATAATAAGATGAAGGCTCCTTTGATAACCTTAGCTGGCTGACATTAAATATTTTGTTTTAAGCCCAAAGAGTAGAATTAATGTAGCTTTTGAATTATTTATTTGTCTAAAAATTGATATAACCATATGCTTTTCCTTTCAGAATTTTTAAGTGACTTACCCCATTTAGATAACTAGAGATGTTTTCACTTGGGATGAAATATTTCAGTCTAGACTAGACTAGTCTGGTGTATTTAATTATGGTTTGAATTGAACTGGTTTAGTAAAGTCTGATATTATGTGTGTATTTTACTATTGTCTAGGGTTGGTTTGATCTCATCCGGTCTGTTTAAGTTTGGTTTGATCTGTTCTGAGATTAAAACTAGTTGAAAACCATACAAAGTTGAAAACCTCACAACTATAATAGAGCTTTTACACTTTCATTAAAAATATCAAAGAAGTAATGATATTGTTGTCAAAAATCAAAATAATGTTTTAATACGCGTTTGTTATTGCATAAGCAACATTACTCACTTCACCCCCAAAATGTGATAGAACACTGGTATTTTCAACTCAGAACACAGTAGAATCAATAGGAAATTATCAAGAAACTAGATCAAGAAGAGTTTATTGATGTAGGAAGTATGTACAGAGGGTATACAGTGCATAGGACCATTCAAGATGCCCAATCTCCAAAGTCCAAGTCCAACAGAATAACAACCTACTTCTTCTAGGCTTCTAGCTATTATGCTTCTATTTATAGTAATTGTCCACGCAGGGAACAACAGAAACTAACTAACTAGTTAGTTAACTACTAACTGCCTTCCGACTCCTCCTTTGGTAGACTTTATTATAATATTGAGCTGGCTGCTGTATCGAATGTCTATCAATACTCCCTCTGGAAATTCACCTTGTCCTCAAGGTGAAGTTCTGGGAATTGCTCTTTAACCATTAGGAGTGATTCCCATGAATCCTCAAAACTTGGCAGATCTTTCCAGTGTATTAGCACCTCTGTTTTTCCCTCTTTGTCAACCCTTGAATCCAAAATCTTCTCAGGTATCACTTGTAATTCCAGTTCTTCATTTAAACATTTGGGTAGAGGTTGATAGGAAGTAGTAGGTGATATAGCCTTTTTAAGCAATGAGACATGAAATACAGGGTGTATTTTACTGTCTTGTCTTCTGGTAGTTTAAGCTTAAAAGCTACAGAACTGATTTTGCCAACTATCTCAAAGGGACCATAGTATCTTGGACTCAGTTTCTGGTTTATCCTCTTAGCTAAACTCCTTAGCTTGTAAGGCTGTTTCTTCAAATATACCTTATCACCCACATCCAACTGAACTTCTCTCCTATGCTTGTTGGCTTGTTGCTTCATCTGATTCTGAGCATTTGCCAAATTTCCCTTTAATTCATCTAGCATCACATTCCTTTGAGCAGTGAGTTTGGACACTTCTTCCACAGCAGTGAGAGTTACATCACCTCTAATAACTGCAGGAGGATCTTGTCCAAACAAAGCTTTATAAGGTGTCAGTTTCAGGGATGTATGATAAATGGTGTTATACCAAAATTCAGCCCAGTGCAACCACTTAGTCCACTGCTTGGGTTTTCTCCCTGTCGAACACCTCAAATATGTTTCCAAGCATCTTTTAACCACCTCAGTCTGAGAGTGGTAGGCTGTACTGTACTTCAACTGAGTCCCAACCATTTTGAAAAGTTCTGACCAGAATGCGCTTAGAAAGACACTTAGAAAGACACTATCTTTGTCACTTAGAATGGTTTTAGGGAAACCATGTAGCTTAACCACCTCCATTATGAATAATTCTTCTACTTCCTTGGCATTAAAAGGATGAGAAAGAGCCAAGAAGTGAGCAAACTTGGTCAACCTGTCAGCAATGACCAATATGGTGTCTTTTCCCTGAGATTTAGGTAAGCCCCCTATGAAGTCCATACTGATATCAGTCCAAATGGTGCTTGGAACAGGTAAAGGCTGTAGCAAGCCTGCTCTGTTTGACATATAACACATTCTTCAACAAACTTCTTAATATCTTTTCTCATACCTTGCCAAAAAAACAAATTAGATGTTCTCTTCATGGTTCTAAAGTAGCCTGAATGTCCTCTAACTGCAGAATCATGATATTCTTTCAATATCTTGATTACTCTAGGTGATCCCTTTGGTAGTATCAGCTTCTTGTTGTAGTATAACAACCCTTTAATAATCTGGAATTCAGAATTTTTGTCTAGATGTGAAATCACATTCTGAATTAATTCCTTACATTTAGGATCTGAATTCAACTCTTACTTCAATCCTTCCCACTCTTGACAAGTCACAATACATAGGGACTGTAACATAGGTCTCCTGGATAGTGCATCAGCAACCCTATTCTCTACTCCAGGTTAATATTTGATGGTGGAATTGTAACCCAACAATTTGGATGTCCATTTCTATTGTTCCTCACCCATCAACCTTTGTTCAGTAAGGAATTTTAAGCTCTTATGATCACTGTGAACCTCAAATGTTCTACCAAGTAGGTAGGGTCTCCATTTTTGAACTGCTAACACAATTGCCAAGAGTTCCCTTTCATAAACAGATAATTTTTTATTCCTCTTAGATAATTCTTTGCTCATAAAAGCAATTGGTCTCCCTTGCATCAGGACTGCCCCCAGGCCTGTTCCAGATGCATCAGTTTCAATTATGAACAATATATTGAAATTAGGGACTGCTAACACTGGTAGGGAAGTCATGGTCCTTTTCAGTTCTTCAAAAGCATTGATAGCCTTAACATCCCATTGAAAACTATCTTTCCTTAGAAGTTGTGTAAGGGGTAGTGCAATTTTACTATACCCCTTCACAATTCTTCTATAATATTCAGTTAACCCCAGAAAACCCTTCAGTTCCTTCAAATCCTTGGGTTCTGGCCAGCTAACCATTGCCTCTATCTTGGTGGGGTCAGCTGAAACTCCTTCTCCAGATATAATGTGCCCTAAATACACCAACTGAGGCTGTCCAAAAGAACATTTCTTCAAATTTACCACCAACTGATTATCCCTTAAGGCAGATAGAACTGTCCTTAAATGTTCCTGATTGTCCTCCTTAGATTTGCTATAGATTAGAATATCATCAAAAAATGCTAGGGCAAATTTCCTCAAAAGTGGCCTTAGTACTTGATTCATTAGGGCTCAGAAAGTAGAGGGAGCATTGGTCAAACCAAAAGGCATCACCAAATATTCATAGTGCCCCTCATGAGTTCTAAAGGTTGTCTTCTGTCTATCTTCTTCCTTCATCCTGATCTGGTGGTAGCCAGATTTCAGATCCAACTTAGAAAATATTCTAGCCTCTCTTAACTCATCCAATAGCTCCTCAATTATAGGTATGGGAAATTTAAGAACTGTGATCTTATTTAATGCCCTGTAATCACCACAGAACCTCCAACCACCATCTTTCTTTTTGGCTAATAGTAGGACTGTTGCTATGCTGAATGATCCCAGAGCTAAGCGTGTTCTTTATAATCTTCTTAATCTTAGTCTTTTGATACTGAGGATACCTGTAGGGTCTGATATTAGGAATATTAGCCCCCTCCTTGATGTTAATGCAATGGTCACATTTTCTGCTAAGAGGCAACCCTTCTAGGGGTTGTGACACTTCTGGGAATTCTGCCACAATATCCTCCCAGATATGATCCAATTTCTCTCCCTTCCCCATCTCTATTAAACTCCCTTCACAGTATACAAGGTATCCATCTCCTGTATCTTGTATAATCTGTGATATGGTTTTCAAAGAAACTTCCATAGAGTTTAACTTGGGATCTCCCTGAATCATGTGACTGAGCCCTTGTTTATTCCATTTGATAATTTGTTTTTGGAAATTTACTTCTACATCTCCAAGGCTAGTCAGCCATTCCATTCTCAATACCACATCAGTCCCTCCCAAATTGAGAATGTAAAAATTCTGTGTGATATGAGTACCTTGCATGCATAAGACCAAATCCTCACACCTTCCATTGTTAGTTATCTTCTCCCCATTTCCAATCTGCACTTTATACCCTGAAATGGTATTAAAGGGCAGTCCCAATTGGTCCACCAACTTCTAAGCTATGAAATTGTGGGTGGCCCCACTGTCAATAAACACTTCTACTACTTTTTCACCTCAATCCCATTTCAGACATCCTTTAACTTTGAAAGCCCTCATAGTAGCTATCCCTTCCTTGCTCATGAGTGATAGTTGCATGGGTTTGAATTCCATGGCAACTTCTTCTTCTTCTTTTGGATGCACAGAATCTACCATCTCCTGCTCATCTTCATTTTCTGAATCCATCAATTTATAGTTCTTCAGTTTACTAGTGTGCTCTCTGTTCCACTTCTCACCACATTTAAAACATAGCCCCTTCCTGCTCATGTCCTGAAATTCTTGTTGAGATAGCTGAGGTCCCACTCATCTTATTCCAGAATGATGGATTTCAGTCACCTTCATCCCTCCCTTGTCAAGCCAAGAATTGTTATTCTTGTTTTCTGCCACATTCTTTCCATTTTTGTTAGACCAAGAGCTGCCAGATTTTGCCTTGTAACCTTCTCCCCATATCTGAGATTTCGAAGGTACAAATCCTCTTTCCTTCCCAATCAACCTGTCATCCTCCTTCGGTCCTTCCTTTTCAGATATATAGCATCATTCCCTTTGTTCAATTAATAGAGCCCTATCTATAATCTCAGATAGTGATCTTGAGTTATACAGTTTCAACTCAGTTTTAATCTCATCTTTAAGACCTGCGATAAAAATTCCCCTGAAAATTTCCCTGTCCACAT